TTTTTTTTTTTTTTTTTTTTAAAAAAACAGTTTTCGAAAGTTCTTAAAGGCAAGAGTGAATTTCTGTGGATTTTACTGGTCCCAGCTTTTAGGTTCTTTAAGACACTAACAGGACTGCATAGAAGCTTTTTCAGCATTACTGTATTGTCTGCGTGCCAGATGTGGCAAGATCACCATTAGAAATGGAAATTACATTTGAAAGCCATTAGACTTGTAGGTGATACATCTAAGAGAGAGAGTGATCATACTGTAGAGACATGTGGTATCATTTTTCCCTTTTCTAATTGTTTAAATTACATTTTATACCAATGTTTAAACTTAATTAGGTGTTAGCTTGAGGTGGTTAAAGGTTGTTTTGGGGGGAGTTTGTTCCAATGGTTTTGCTGTAAAAAGTGTTTCAAACTCTGCTGAAATGTTGCTGAAAAGCATGGTGCTGGTAACAGTTCAACAATCCGTGGCTGCTCATTCTTGCCTACTTTACTCTCCCTCTGAAGCAGGTTAGCATTGAAGGTGGTATGGAAAAGCCTGCATGCGTGTTCAGGTCTTTGTTTCTTCTTCCCTCTCCCTCTGCCCCTCCCCCCTTCGCTCGCTCACCCTCTTTTGTTCAGTATGTGTAACTTGAAGCTAATTTGTACTACTGGATATCTGACTGGAGCCACAGATACAGAATCTGTATTGTTCTTACTGAAACACAGCATGGAATTAACATTAAACTTAAATAAAACAAACCTAAATTAAAAATGCCAAATATACTGCGCTTTCATCCTTTACACTTCTAAAATAAAATCTTTAGTCCAAACACTTTGACAGTATTATGTTTGCCTGAATGTGAAAAAAATCCCCCCTCTTCCGTAAATCATGTGTCTGTGTCCCAGAGATGTATATTTTGGAAAAAAATACTGCCTGTAATCTGGATGTGAAGAACACTAAGTAATCTGAGTCAATTGATTACATGTCCTGTTTCCAAACCAGTTAGTGACACGGTATTTATGTTAATCATTAAAGTACAATGTGTGTATTTAAACACAAGGTGTAATTATGGATCATTTTCTACCATGGAATTTTGGGTTGTACAGCTGGTTATGACTGAGTCTGTCAGCATAATCCACCTTGAGTTGTGCTAAAATGTGTAGGCCTTTCCTGAAAAGATCAGTGGCAAAAACCAGTGAATAATTAAATCCATTTTCAGTATTTTACCTTCCCCAAAAAACTCAAGTGTTGTAAGTAGTTTCTTCCAGAGATAATGGAGTTTATGCATCAGTGTGTATAGATCTTTGCTCTATTTGTTGTGGGGCATGGGTAACTGGAAATGGAACCTAGGGCTTTTCCACCAAGCCATATCCTCAAACCTTGTTTTTTGAGGCTGGGTCTTGCCGAGTTGCCCAAGCTAGGCTCAAACTTGGCATCTTCTTGCCTCAACTTCCCAGTGCTGGAATTACAAGTATGTACTTCCATGCCCAGTTCAGTTTACTGTTTTTAGACAAGTTCTTTCCAACCTTGCTGTGAGTTGCAGTAAATACCCTTGGATGGTTTTTGTGTATTTGGTTGTATATCTGTAAGATAATTTCTAGTTTTACTGTGTCTGACAATACAACTTTTCTGTTAGTAAATGCTGCTTCACCACATTTGAATGTAGAAGGCGATGTTGACACAGGTGTGTGTATTCCAGGCTTGAGATCTTAGTAGCAGACATTTCAGAAATTAACAGATGAATGATACCCTGATAGTTTTCATTTTAACTCTGTCCTTTGTAAAAGTGTTTTTGTGAATTGCTTTCGTACCAAATAATAGGAGACAGTTGTATATAAATCATTCTCTACTGTTCATTTAAAGCAGCCTATAAGGGTTTTAGGTTGATTTGTTGTTTCCTATAAAAGGTGGCCAGATACCTGTTGCACTGAAAGCCAAAATTGGGGCATTCATAACATTCTAAGGTTTTTATTTTTTATTTTTATGTATTTATTTTGCAGTACCAGGGATCGAACTCACCACCTTGTGCTTGACAGGCAGGTGCTTATGCCACTGGCTATATCCCCAGCCCACTGTCCAAGCTTTTTAAAGCACTCATGGGATGAAGGGTTTTACAGGTCGCTACCACACTAAACGCTTAGCACCTAATGCCTGGACTTGAAGGGTCGAAGTAAATTCTTTTTACCCTTGAAGTGAAGCAATCCCAATTTAAACATTGTCTTGTCAAGTTGATTTTCCCAAGTGCTTTGTGAAAAGGGTCCTTGGTTTAGTTGGCTATGCGGGCTTCATGTAACCACCAAACCCATTTCAACAGGAGTAGCAATTTTTTTGTCTTTTTTTTTTTTTGGTCTTTGAGACAGTGTTTCACTATGCAGTTCAGGCTGTCCTTGAGCTCACTTTGTAGCCCAGGCTGGTGTTGAACTTGCAAGGATCCTCGTGCCTCAGCCTCCCGAGTGTTGGAATTACAGGTGTGCACCACCACAACTGATTAGGTACAGGGTTTTAGATCTCTGAATGTTTGGAAGAGGGGCAACCAGTAAAGCTGCAGAAAGATCTGTGGGCTGGAAGTTCTGTCCCCCAGAGTTTCCATCCTTAATTTATTCTTGCAGGATCATTTGACTTTGTAGTAAACATATCACACTCACACATCTTGAGTGTAGTTGATACTGGGTTTTTTTTGAGACTTCAGGCTGGCCTTGAAGTTTATGTAGCCCAGACTGGCCTCGAACTCTTGGTGATCTTCACTCAGCCTCCCGAGTGCTGGAATTATAGGGGTGTGCCTCACCTGATTTGCTTTGTGTTTTAATTACAAGTCTGACACCACTTTGTTTGGAAAATGAAGTTTAAAAGAGAAGTTTTTTCTTGTTTAGACAGTCTCACTTTGTAATTCAGACTTGCCTTGAACTTTAAACTAGCCGAGGCTGGCCTTAAATTTCAGGCAGTCCTGCCTCAGCCTCTCAAGTGCTGGGATTACAGGCATGTGCTACCACACTCAGCATGAAAATGAAGTTTTAAACTAGGATAACGAGTTTATACCCTTTTATTTTGAGCTGGGTGGCCAGGATAAAGAACCTTTGTTCTTTATCAGTTCTTGTTCTGTTTAAACTTTTATTATTACTATTTATTATTTATTTTTAATACAGAGTCTTGCTATGTAGTTTAG